AAACTCCTTTCTGTCTTCCAAGCTACTGAAATTGGATAACGTTGGAGATGGCAAATCTAAGCATCGCTTCCTCAGAAAACACGTTGCAAATGTGATCACATAACCAAACTAGCTCTGTGTGTTCAATGTGTGCTTACAAGAAAGACTTAAGACTGGCCAAAAATGCCAGAAGGAGCATTACTGAGCTTTTGAATTTTGGGGGAAATTTCGGGTTCCTTGGCTGTGTGTCTGTGCGCGCACGTGAAATGGAGTTTTATGCTGCTTTTTGTCAACGTGAAGGTATTAACTAGAAGGAGTGTAACACTATTTAATTCTTTATTTTAAAGTATTATGAGTGCAACTTCTTGAATTTTCTTTTAGCACAAAAATATATATGTCTGCAACTTTACTCTTATTTTCTCACTACTCTCCTTCACGGTATTATCGTCTACAAAATAAGCCATTTCTTTTAGTACTTAAGACCTTGTGCAAGTCAAACAGTGTCTGCAATTTTAAAAAATTGAAACATTCTCAAGGAGTACCTGCAAGTTAAACTGAGGACAGAAAGTGTCATGTGGAAACTTTGACGTAGCACAGGTTTAGTTTGTCAGTTTAAGGGGAATATGAGAACAGAAGTGTAAAAGATGGACTTGCTTTTCCGCCACATTCATGTAGTGCAATAGTATAAGCCAAGAGAAGTGCAGCTGAAGTTGGAGGGCACTTCAGCTCAGTTATATTTTCCCATTGTGTCTGGCTGTGTATGTATAAACTCCTGCAAAAACCAAAGTAACAACAACAAAAAGCCCCAAAGTCTTGCAAGCAGCAAATGTGTTGGGTTAGAAATGGAAACTGGTTAGAATGGAGTTTAGGCTTGCTTATTGAGGCTAAGGCTGTTCTTCACCTTCAGGCAATAAAGTGAAAACCTAAGCTACCTTCAAGTATTGCGAAGTGAAGCTGAGCAGCCTGTGCTGGGGTGAGAGTTATTTGGCTTTGGGCACTGCTGTAACTTGAGGCTCCAGGGGACATTGCTTTGAGGGTCTTGGAAGCTGCTGGTGTTCAGTCAGTTGCCCAAGTGGTCAGGGACGTGACGGTCTCAGACTTTTGCATGTGATTTAGAAAATGTGTGAATAATCCAAACCTATGAGTGCAGGGTAGTCGGAGACCCTAGTAACCCAAGGGCCACCTGAGGATCAACTTTGTGCTCTACGTGACACAGTGTAACGTCTTAGGATTTTTCCCCCTGTAAAACAGTGGCTGGAACTTTTCCTGTTGTAACTCGGAGAAGAATGCTAACAAGCTGACGTGAGATAATACAGTGTGTTAATAACAGATGGCTTCATTCTCCATGCCTTTATTTATAGATTATAGGGCTTCTGTTCGTACTAGCCAAAGCTTTAGGCGTTCAAACAAATGTTGAAATTTTTAATCTCTTACTAAAAAATCATGTTCTTTACAACTCGTTTTATTAGAAGTTGTCTGCTTAGAAAATTTGTTTGCAAGTATTGACATGTGTGCCTTAGCCCGATTTAACTTAAGAGTGTCAGTAAACTTTCTGGGTTTTGAATAAAATGAACAAAAAATAACTGCACCCTCTCCCCCAAAAACCTGAAAACCGGAGCTGTACAGATTGTCAGCAGAGGGCCCTCTGCCTATGGGAATTTTTGGAGTCAAAGCACACCCTACTGGTACGGCTCAAGTAAACAAAGCATCTGCTTTTACTCTGTCATATGGTGTAATAATATGTAATAATTGCATTGTATGATCCTTTCCTTTTTAGAAAATGAATTCTAGGAGGATATATTCCTTCTAGTTTAGACTTGCATTAAATTTTAAGATGCCTGATTAAAATTCAGGAAAATCTGGGTGGAAATTGCCTCAGTTCTGGTGCAAACTGAGCAAATCCAAAGGTTCTGGTGCTTAGTTACGTCCTTGGAATTCTTTAACTATTCCACTAGAAAAGAGGACAACATCTGCCTTTTGCGATGAGAGAATTTTGTGCATAATGCTCTGATCGTAAGTAGGGCACCAGCTACTGTAATGATAACTTTATTAGAAGATTTTGCCCTTTCTGCAGATGGCCCTACAGGGAAGCCAAGAGAAGTCAGCGGGCCTGAATGGCGTGAGCTTGAGAGAAGGAATCGGAAAGTGGAAATTACAGTCTGTTCAATGTTTGGGAAACTTTCAGGTGGAGAAGCTGAAGGTTAAAGTGAAAAGGGAAGTAAGCAGCAGAGAAGAGAGCCAATTGTTAGTGCCACTTCTTAACTGAACAACAAATTAGTCTTTAGGAATGTCATGTGACATTCATAAATGGCTTGTTGTCTGTTAAAGCAAAGAATATAGACTTCTATAATGTAGCAAAGACATGAAGTTTAGAAAAACAAATGTAAAATGACTTCTGTGGACTTGAGCTGGTAGGTGATGGAAGAAAGGCTTCAGGGTCAAAAAAATTAATAATGCTTTATAGTTTAAAAATGAGGGGGGAATCTTAGGAGGGGAAAAAAAAAAGGTGTGTTTGTCTTAAAGGCAGTGACATAGTGTCACATGCTGGTCGGATACTGGCAGCCTGATTTCCCCC